TACTAGAAGAGGTAAAACTTACAATACTGGTTGGAGAGTTAAGATTAACCATCAAATGCAAATTTGCTTCTTCTTCATCTAAATTCTCTGTTGATGATGTATCATTATCATCCCAAGCAATATTGACTCTCTTTTTCATATTTTCTCCTTTCTTGTCTTGATTCTTGTTTTTCTCAGGACATTCCATTCTCACATACCGCTGTTTACAACAACCATAGAACTTATAATTGAGAGAATTTGAGTCAGATTTCTTTGTGTACCTTTTCTGTCCAGATTTATCTTTAATTTTCTTTGTGAGAAATCTGTTGAATTTCTTGACCAACAGACCAAGATTTTTACTTTCTTCTTCTGTATCTTCTTCTTTATCTTCCACTTTGAGTGTTATGCTTTTCCCTTTCTTTTTTGAGACTTTATACTCATTGAATCTTTTTATCTCCATTTCATGCTCTCTAAGTTTTCCAAATAAAGAAGTTGTGGTCATGATGGATAAGTCTTTTGATTTTGAGATTATTGTAACCTTGGGCTGCCATGACCTGTCAAGACATTTTAACACTTTGATATTTAATTCTTTTTTATCAAAAGTCTTACCAAGACCCATCGAGTGATTGATGATGAGTAAAACATTTATGCACATCTATAATGCTTTCTCCAAATTGCATTTTGAACAACTCATATTCTCTGATGAATGTGTGCTTTCTAGCTCTCTTTACATCAATTGTTCCTTCATGGGTCACCTCAAGAACTTCCCACATTTCTTTGATAGATTGACATTGAGATACCTTGAAAAATTCATCAATGTTAAGAGTAGATGTAATAATGTTCTTTGTAGTGCAATCATTTTGAATTTTTTTTCTTTTCATCATCATTTTAATTAGACCAATCTTTATCAATGGTAAGAGGACCTTTTTCATTTATATTCCAAATATTCCTATCTATGGATTCAATAAATATCTTCATTCTAATTTTCCAAAATTGATAATCTGTACCACAAAATAGTGGAGGTCTATTAATAGAAGTTCCCTTAGAAAAAGGTAATTTGTTTTCGACCATTGAAAAAAATAAATTTTAGGACCAAAAGTCTTGAGTAACTTTCAAGACCACTGCTCTTGATACCAATTGTTAGAATTATAGGCTGAGATCAAGAAGGGGGTTAAATTGATCTTTGAAAACTTTTTCACACTTTATAGATACAGATTAATAATTTTAAAGATAAAGAAATCTGATTAAGAATTGAACCTAAAAAACTAGTCAGAAATGAATAATGTTCAAATAGATTTAAAGAAAGTGAAGCAAGAGAAAAAGAAACAACAAGAATTATATTGGTTCACCCACACCACTGGGCTACATCCAGTTCTCAACCAAATTTCAGATGAGTTCTACTAGATTGAATTTGTTTTGAATACAGAACAGAATTACAAAACACTCAACCTGCACCATGAACCAAATTCTAGTTCATGAACCCAACCTGCAACCAAATTCCAATTGCAGAAACAATGTCCAACTTTCCAGACACCAAGACCAACAAATTCAAAATAGAAATGAAAGAATGAAAAAACTAGAACAATCAAACCCGATTATGTAGTGCAGAAATCCCACTACAGTATGAGTTTCTTCACAAGTAAGAACACAAAAATGCCTTAACAAAAAACTTTAAAAATTCTCACTGAAAATAACGTGTTTCTCTCTTGAAAAGATCTCTATTGATTGCTTGAATGATTTCTTAAAGATGTTGTTAAAAAGCGTTGAATCAAATATGTATATATAGAGACTTTTTCTAACAAACTAGTTTAATTAATCGGTTAATTCATTTTTTAATCGATTAAAAAAATATTGATTCTAACTATTTTAACCAATTAAAATATCATTTAATCGATTAAAATGTTCTACAATACTTTCTAAAAAGATTTTAATTAATAAAAATGCGGTTTAATCGATTAAATCAATTATAAAAAAATCCTTTAGTAATTTTAATCGATTAATTTGTATTTTAATAAATTAAAATACTGACAAAAGATTTTTTAAAACTTCTTAAGTGATTTTAATTGATAAAAACGTGATTTAATAGATTAAAACATTTGAATAAAAATTCCCTAAGTGATTTTAATTGATTAATTCGAAGTTTAATCGATCAATAAACTGATAGAACATTTCTTAAAACGTCTTAAGTGTTTTTAATTGATAAAAACTTGATTTAATTGATTAAAACAATTAACCATAAATTTTTTTAAGTGATTTTAATTGATTAATTCGAAGTTTAATCGATTAAATATTAACAAAATATTTTCTAAAACTTTCTTAAGTTTTTTAATCGATTAATTTGAAGATGTTTCGGTTAAAATACCTGATGTAAAATTTTCCAAAACTTCTTTACTCGAAAATAATTAATTTATTCGAATATGTACCGATTAAAATAACGACAATACATGCTTTAAGTGGTTTTAATATATTATTTCAAAAATATATCAATTAAAAATATGTCAAAAGTGTTTTTAACTCGATTAATCTGTAAATATATTTGTTAATTTCGAGACTCCAGAACAAATTAAAATAATTAGAGGTATTTGGATGCAGACTCATTAAACATTACAACCCTTAAGTCATAAATCCTTTGAATTCATCAAAATTTTAAGATTTTCAATATTTTTCAATAATTTCTATCACTCTCATTTTTCTAAATATAGTGGGAAGATCCTTTGTCGACTTTTCATCAATTATACCTTTGGAGTTATGAGTAAAACTTATATCTCACATCATGTTACAATATTTCCACTTGATAATAACAATTTCCTATCATAACATATAAATCATAATAGATATTTATTTTCTTATTCACTTTATTATCTCATTATTCAATTTTAATATACAAATATATTCATCTCATAAAATAATATAAATGTAAACATTACTATTAATAATAATAATAAATAAATAAATAAATATAGATAAACTTAAACATAAAAGGTCATTATATATATATATATATATATATATATATATATATATATATATATATATATATATATATTATGCAGTATTGCAAATAAAATTTATTAATATCACAAAATCAATGGAAACAGTGACATTCCAAGTAAACATAGTATTATATAATGCTGGGATAAGACACACGTAATTGAATTCACAACACGGTTGATCCACATGCATTGCCATAAAAAAAAGTAAAATAAGCATGCATATAACTATGTTTCTATGTCTTTCTTTATCTATGTATTCTAATTAGACATTCTAAAAATATTATACAAATTCATGATAAAGTATTCCAATTTATACAACAAGGAAACTACAATAAATATAGCTATATCCACAATTTTTAATAATAAGAAGTAAAAATTGATATAAATCCTATAATCTTACTTGGATGACTAACCACTTCTAATACTAGCAAATAATAAATTAAATTGTTGCTTATAATTCTAAAAGTCATAAGAATCATGCAAATTCTTGAAGAAGCATTAATATTCCTAAATCAAATACTTCTATATATTAAAACTATTACATAATTCTTTAAAATTCATTTAAAATTTCTTGAAAATTAACACAATTATATCTTTATATAATAACTTATCACAAAATTATACAAAAAATTGTACCATTTTTTTCTATACTAATTAAAAATTACTTTAACTTAATAATTAGTTTTTATTATATTATTTAACAAAATTATTTATTATTTCTCAATTTAAATAAAAAATAAATCAAACATATTAAAGTTTTTTTATACGTGGAAATTTAATATTTTCTATTTTTCTCTGCCATAAAATTTTTCTCTTGTTTTTTTTTTTACCAAATAAACATATAAATTTTCCCATCTATCTCACTTTTTTTATCCCATTATATTTACATTTCATTCATTGACATTTATGCTTAAACAAACAACATAATAATCAAATCTACAATTTTCTTAAAATTCTACAACAATAATTTTAAAAAATAACATTTATCATTAACAAGTTAGTATATATATTGAATAACACATGTATCTCAGGATGAACTAAAACTATGTGAAGAATGCAATTTTAATCAATAACCAATGATTACGTATATTATTAATAATTAAAAGAAAAGTGCATTATCTTCAATTCACTTAATAAGTTAATATACATAATACATGCATCTCATTGTCATGAGCTATAAAAACGTAATTTTAATCATTAATTAATGATTACTTATGTTGGGTTTGTAATAAATTTAAGAGTTTAATAAATCTAATATATATGCTGTGAAAAAAAGAGACATAGTTGCATTCCTAATATTCAAATATTTGTTTATAAATTTGAAATAAGGATTTATATTTTGATCTGGTGTATAAGTTTTTTTTTTCATTTGTTTTATTAGTATGATGCTCCTCATACAGTCATGTACAAAAAGATATTTATGTGTGTTTTTTTTATGTAAAATTGAAAAAAAAGATTTATTTATTAATTGAGATTTGATTTTTTTTAATTCTATTATTTTATTATTATAAATTGTTTTGTTCAAGTTAATATACATACTGAAATTAACTATTTTTAATAAATGGTTAATGATTATTTATGTTTTGTATTTTAAACAAAATTAAGTATATTGAATACATTAAAAAAAACATTATTTTAATTACTTCAAAATTTAAACATATATTTTAAATTATTATTAAAAATGAACGAGAAATGTTATTTTAAACCTGATATTTTTTTGTAAAACTTAAAACATATTTTACTAAAAAAAATTAAAATTAATGTTTATTGTACAGGAAAGATATGACCACAAAGTATGAGTAAATTTCAGATATACCATGTGACTCATGGGTTTCTAAGAACTGGGTCCACGGTCGGAAATCCCCGTTTTGCCCAAACCCCCAAATAAAGACCAAAGACCTCTTTCGTTCTCTTTTCTGGAACCAGCTCTTCTGGTGTTGATCTCGTTTTCTCGAACACACACTACTCTTTCTCCCTCTCTTCCCTCCCTCTCTCTCTAACGATAACCTTTGCAGGTTCCAATTCACCATGACCGTGATGATGCCAGCACCCATTGATGTACGCGTTTGTTCCCTGACCTTAAATGCACACATACACATACACGCACTCTCTCTGCACGCACTGTTTCGCTCCTATTATTTATTCACAATAATAACTCGCGCGGTGTGCTTATCTTCGCGCGATTCTTCGGCCTAGCGCTAGTCGTATTATTCAATTTGGTTTTCTCCACTTCCAAGTGGTGCCACTGACGGGGTTTCGGTTTGTTTTTTTTTTTTTCTGTTCTGTCATGGTTTTGATCTGAGCGAGTGAGCGTTTCGTGCGATTTCTAGTGCAGTTTGGGGTTTCGATTTTAGGGCTTTGCGTTTACGATTGAGGGTTGGGTGCGCGTCGCTGTGGATGCGAACTAGGGTGACGTGTTTGGTTTTGGTTTTGTGCAGCATCAAGAGGACGAGGAGGTGCTCGTGCCGCATGCGGATTTGTCCGAGAACAATCACCAACCCATGGAAGGTAGTTCTCGTTTCGTGTACTCGCTTCCTTTGATCCGGCTTTTTAGTTTTTTGTGTTTCTCTTTGTTTTCTTAAGTTTTTTTTTTTTATGATTTTTATTTTTTTAAATTTGGTTTAAGGAGCTGTCGTTTTTTCAGTATCGTTAGCTTCCGTGTGTTTTAAAATTGAATTGTTATGGAGGTTTGGGATAGTGGTTTATGCATTGTTGCTCCGGGAACGAGTGGTGGAGCTGAGTGAAGAAATGGTTTGAGGAATTCAGGTTTTGTGTTAGTTTTTGTTTTTTAGATATGGGAAATTCGTTAGTTATGCTTTGCGATTTTGATTTTTTTTCTAATAAAAAAATGTTTTTCAGATAAAGTTTCACAACGGAGAATAATTTGCATCCAATTATTGGTTAGTCAGTATTTGAAATTTGTGGGGTTTTTGTGTAATTAATTAGGTAACTTCATTTTACTGGTGTTCCTAGTTAGCTATTTGAGGGTCTAGTTCAGTTCCGGTCACACATTTTATTGTTTTGGGGGTAGTTTATGGTTTCAGCTAATTCCAGACGTGATAGGTGATTGTTCCTTTTCTTTTTGTTTCTTTGATGATCATTAGTTGTAGCTCAACCTGAAACTGCCAATACTGTGGAGAGTCAGGCTGTGGAGGATCCGCCATCCTCTAGATTCACATGGAGAATTGACAACTTTTCAAGGCTGAATACGAAGAAACTCTATTCGGATACATTTGTTGTTGGTGGCTATAAATGGTATTTTGTTGAGATTTACTAAACTGGTTAATGATGGTCAATTTTCTTGAATATGGACTTATATGAATACTTGTTCTGAGTGATTATCTCTTCCAAACTTGGTTTTATTCTTTACAGGCGTGTGCTTATTTTCCCAAAAGGAAACAATGTGGACTATTTGTCCATGTATTTGGATGTTGCAGATTCAGCTAGTTTGCCCTATGGTTGGAGTAGATATGCACAGTTTAGTTTGGCAGTTGTTAATCAAATCCATAATAAGTATTCTGTGAGAAAAGGTAGTCCCTGCAAACAATTTGATCTTTACACTTCCACAAGATAACATAGATTAGCCATAGGTGTAAAATAAAGAAACGCATTGCTGGAATTAAAAGCAAAGATTTTGCTAGGTTTCTGTTGCAATTAGTGGATGAAGAACATTTGATACGTCCTTGCATGATAAATATCCCCTCATAATGACATTCTGACTCAATTATCAATACATCATTATATAATAAATCATGTGACACCTTTACTCATTCTATAATTTATGTTTTGTTGCTTAGTTAATTTTCTGTACCTCACCCTTTGGTTCTGTATTCACTATAGGATAGTGGGACTTTGGAAGGGGTGGGATTATGGTTAGCAGATGTTTAAGTTCATTCATAAGCATTTAACATTGTTCATATCATGGTTAACCTGGTTCCAACCTCTTGCCCCTTGTTTATAGGTGGGGAATGAGATTATGAATTCTATAGTTTACAGTGTTACTTGTCTCAATTATTTTTTACTAAAAGAGGAGGTGAAAATGCACAGTTTTTTGGATTTATCTATAGCCTTGTTGTAATTCAATTTTACATACATTATGCAGACACGCAGCATCAATTTAATGCTCGTGAAAGTGATTGGGGTTTCACTTCCTTCATGCCTCTTGGTGAATTGTATGATCCGAGTAGAGGGTATCTTGTGAATGATACTCTTATGGTTGAAGCTGAGGTTCTTGTTCGTAGGATTGTTGATTACTGGACTTATGATTCAAAGAAGGAGACTGGCTACGTCGGGCTTAAGAACCAAGGAGCTACCTGTTATATGAATTCTCTACTCCAAACCTTGTACCATATTCCTTATTTTAGAAAGGTTAGAACTGTTTGTCATATTTTATGTTGCCTGAAGTTCAATTATCTATTTGCAAGTAAATTGGTTCGTGGATTTAACATTTCAGGCTGTGTACCATATGCCAACAACTGAAAATGATATGCCCTCTGGTAGCATCCCTTTGGCTCTACAGAGTTTATTCTACAAGCTTCAATACAGTGACACCAGTGTTGCAACAAAGGAGCTGACAAAGTCTTTTGGATGGGATACATATGATTCTTTCATGCAGCATGATGTTCAAGAACTAAATCGGGTTCTTTGTGAAAAACTCGAAGACAAAATGAAGGTATGACTATAACCTTGGTAAATTTTCTTCTTGACACATGACCATATCTAATGGTTATTTTATGTTATTTGTTTTCAGGGAACTGTTGTTGAGGGAACCATACAGAAGTTATTTGAAGGGCACCATATGAATTACATAGAATGCATCAATGTAGACTACAAATCAACAAGAAAGGAGTCATTTTATGGTACTTTTCCTTAGGCATTTTGAATTCAATTATGTATTCTTGTATAATTTTAATTTAGTTTTACATATGCATGTTAGACCTTCAGCTTGATGTCAAAGGTTGTCGTGATGTTTATGCTTCCTTCGATAAGTACGTTGAAGTTGAACGTCTTGAGGGGGATAACAAATATCATGCTGAACAGTATGGTTTGCAGGTTAGTTGCTATTCATAAATGCTGCAGCAGCATATAATAATCTATTAAAAGTCAACCTTGTGTTTCAAATAAGTATTTATGTTTAAATTTGTTTTGATAATTTTATTCTAATGGCTTCTTTGAACCATTTTCATATTAACATATAAGAAATTGTGGGTTTGACGAATTGCTTTGGTTGGGTCAGATGTTGGGTGCATTTTTGAATCTCTGATGCATCATCCTAAATGTTTTGTGGGAGAGTGCAAGAAACAGTAAATTGACAGTTATTTAGATTTTGATTGTGCTTTGGTTAAATTTTGAAAAATCTCGTGTTCTTAGAAGAGTTGAAAGCAAAGTTACTGATTACAGTTCCCATGCCAATTGATTGGGAAGTAGAATTCTAAATAAGAAGAAGTAGAGAGAGAAGAGGGTGAGAAATAGAGATAACTTCTGTTTCAATTCTTTAAGGATGATCCTGCATCATCTGATAATACAGTCAGTTTATATAGCAACTCTAGTTGTGTTCAAAGCAAGCTTACAACAATACCTAACTTCTTTTATAAAAAAATATATATAAATATCTAAACTAACTGAAGGTTTTCTGCCTTAGATTACCTAATATAACACACAACAATACTATAACCTAGGGAGCTTTGCTTTTTTTTTTTTTTTTTTTTTTTTTTCACGTTCCTTGGTTATATTTTGGCTTTTATGATTGGTGGATATGTTATCCTTGATGTTGTGCACATATTCATAATATTTTTTCTTGTTGGGGTAATAAGCCAGTGATAGCTTCAATTATAAGAGGTGGTATTTGAACAACTCTTCCAACATAGGCAAAAACTCTTCTATTCAGCTTGTCATTGTTTGTGTTATCCGTCATTACTCTTGTGTAATCTGTATGTTGATGCTTTAATGCCATGCAAATTGCCAAGTGAATGTGATACTCAATGAAGTGTGTGCTACGGTATGAATCTCCTCCACCTAGTGTGATGTGAGGGTAGATGTACACACTACTAGACATGGCAATAGGGTGGGTTGAGAATCCTCACAAAAGGTGGGGTGGGGACAATGTTTAGGTTTAGAAGAGACATGTCTAAAATTTTATGACTTAGCGGCAAAAGATTGATTTCCAACTATGTGTAGATTTATGGTAGTTGAGCCTGAGGTTCTAGAGGTACTTTGATCCTAAGTCATGTTCTTTTTGGAAGAATAATAATGTTCAATATCTCTTTGATGCAACTGAAAGAGTAGCTTCACTTAGATAGAACAACCATGGTATGGTTTCACATGTTGCAAAATCTCAAGCTGTAGTAGAAGGTAAAAGATTTTTAGTGGCTAAACGCATTGGAGGATGTCAACAAGAGACTTACTAAATTATATATGGTCTTGATCATGAGAATTTATATTCAGACGTTGATCATGTTAGTGATTGCATCGTAGTTGGTGATCCACTCCTTTGAATGGATAGTTTAGTCACTAGACTTGCTCGAAAGATGAAGTCAAACATAAAATTATTGAAACATCAGTAATGGTTGCTCCTCATGAAGAGGAAGAGGTCGTATCATGTAAAGGAGGACATGGTGGTAGAAGTGGATGTTCGTAATGCTCATATTGCTAGAGGATGATTCACACACAAGAAAATTACTATTCATTGCATGACATTCCAAACAAGATTGTTCATATATTTGAATATGAAATATTAGATTCCAAAATTATTGATGAAGAGTATCAAGAATATTTTGAGGTTCAAATTTGAGAAATCCAACATATAAGGTTAATTTTCTTTAGTACTCTAAGTGTGTCAACATGTATTTTCTAATCCGTGGAAGGTCATGATCCATGGATTCTTAACTCAAGGGCCTTTCACATGTCTGGTAATAGTTCTTCATGTTCTCTCATTTCTTCCCCAAAAATTCCTCATCGTATCCTTGATGCTAATGCATTTGTAATATAGGAACATGGTACAAATTGTCTAATTGGTAAAGGACATGAATAATGAAGTCTTTATTACCTAAAATCACTGTTTTGAAAACCGGATTGGGCGGTTCAACCGGTTGAAATGGGAACCAAACTAGAGATCGGTCCGTTACTTCTAAATAATAGGACTTTAGTTTTGGTTAAAAAAAATTTATGATCAAATTTTTTTAATATAATTTTTTATAAAAGATATAATATATTTAGTTTTTTTAAATCTCATATTAGTTACATATATTTTAAATAATAGTTATTTTATTGTATTTTTATCTTATTTTAACAATTATCCATCTTTCATTCTCTAATATATTTTATATTTATAACTTTCATTGTAACTTACGGTAACCATCACAGTAATCTTTATTATTTTTCCTTCTTTTTATAAAAAACATTATTACTAATAAACTTATTATATATTTATTATATTATAAAAATATTATTTTATTAAATCCGGTTGAACATTTAAACCCTAAACCCATGTCTTAATCGGTTCGGTGACAATTCCAGTTTTATAAACATTGCCTAAAATTCAGCTTTTGAATGATTGTTTAGGTTACCAAGTTTGTCAAAATATAAGATGATAATTCCTAGTTTAAAACAACTTTAAGTTTTAGATTTTAAATTTTTTCAAATAAGAACACAAGTTAGATATTTTCCTAAATAGTTTGAAAGATGATGTAATTTGGTTTTTCTAATTTTGATTTGATCTTTTGGAACCTAGTTATGTCACCTCTTTTGGCTTTAAATATTCTGCTTGAGTTTATTTAATGAGAGATAGATCTGATCTTTTATCTATATATAGATTTTTTTAGGGATGACAAATCGGGATAAACCTAATAAGTCGCTCGTCTAAAAAATGACGGGGTAGGTTGATAATTTTAGTCCATCAACTTGTTTTTTCGTTGACCCTCTTCAAAATTATGTTTATATATTAAAATAAAATAAAAAGAATTATAATTTAAAATATTATATTATTTTGTATCATGTTATTTAAATATGTAAATTTATTATGATATTATAATTTAAATTATAAAAATTAGTAAATTAAATTTAAATTATTGATTTAATTAATTATTTTGATATATAAATATAGTATCTTTTTCAATTTATTTAAATAAAAATATTAATTAATAAATAAAAATATTAACCAATAAATAAAAACTTAAAAATATTCATATAAGTAAAGACATATTATTAAAAAAATACATATAATTTAAAAAAAAATTATTAACAGAGTTGACCTGTCAGCTGTCAGCTACGCCTTTCGTGGGTGGGATTTGTTTTGCCATCCCTATTATTCTTCAATGAGATTAAGAACAAATTTGGGAAGATAATTAAAATCCTTAAAAATGACAATGCTAAAGAATATATTGTTGTTGAGTTTTCTTCATTCTTGTCTTTTGATAGAATTTTACATCAATCGAGATGTTCTCAAATGCCACAACAAAATGATATACTAGAGATGAAGAGTAGATATTTTGTTGAAACTATACGTTTTCTAATGCTGAATACTAATGTTTGTGTTCACCATTTGGGAGATGCAATCCTCATTACTTGTTTTCCAATTTATAGAATGCCTTATTCCTCTTTTGAAAAAGAAATTCCTCACTCCATTATCTTTCAAATGATTTTTTAAGCCATGTCTCTCCATGTCTTGACAAACTTTTTGCAAAGACATTAAGTATATCTTCTTGGGATATGCTGGCCTTTAGAAAGGGGAAAAATGTTAGTCTCCTTCAACTAAGAGGTATTATATGTTTGCTAATATTACAATATTTGAGGACATGTCCTTTTTCTTGTCCTCCATGGATAATTATCCTTCTACTCAATAGGTCTTACCGATTTCATCTCGTGGTTCTCTAAGGATTGTATCTCCTTCTCACTCTAACCATGTTGGAAAGAAATCCTCAAAACCACAGTTCAAATAAAATTGATCCACCACCCTTTCTTGCAAGGCGACTCGTCTCTTTCCTTGAAGATTTTCATGATTTACACCCTCTTGTACTAAATTTCCATTCCATGGATCCTTCATCTTTATTGCCTCCTTCTGACTCCAATTCTAATTGGCTTATTGCTCTTAGTAAAGGTATTCGATCTACACTCAAGCCATATCCTATTTACAATATTTTGAGTTATCATTGATTATTTCCTTCGTACTCTTTTGTTTTCTCTTTGTCAATTCCGCTTTTTACTGACAATGGTAATGAGACACTTGATCACCCTAGATGGCTATAAGTTATGATCGGTGAAATGGAGACTTTTGAACAAGTGGTACATGGGAGCTTGTACCTATTCCTCCTAGGAAGAAGATTATTGATTGTAGATGGGTTCATGCAATTAAGGTTGGTCCTTCTGATGATGTTGGTCGTTTTGAAGCTCGGTTAGTCACTAAGGGGGATATATTTAAATTTATGGCATCCATTATTGTGATACTTTTTTCTATCATGGCTAATATCAACACTATTTAACTCTTACGTGCCATGATTGCTATTTGTCATTGGTCACTCCATTAACTCGAGGAACACCATTGCATTGGATATGAGGAACACCATAGCCTTCTTCCCCTTTCTCTCCTTCATTTTTATTCAAGTCCCATCTTCTCCCCTCTCCCTCCTTTTCCATGGAATAATCTTGAAGTTGGACACAAGAAGGATGGTGAATTTAAACGGTGAACACAATAAGAAACTAAGAAACTAGTAATCGAAAGTGTTTTCTAAAAATTGTAATCCTATTAGAAATAGTGAATATATTGTTGAGTTGTTTCATGGATGTTGGCACGAGTTGCCAAACCATGTTAAATTGATAATTTTTCATATTTCTATTGGTGATGTTCTATTCTTTGATCCTCATTGTGCTTGAAGGGAATTTTGTCCCCTTAGTTCTAGTGCAAGTAGTTAGGGAATTCCCACACTAACATAATTAAAGTTTTGATTAATTGGTCCTTTATTGCAAACCATTAGTGGATGATTGTTCTTTCTTCTATGTTGAAACATAATGCTACACACACACACACACACACATATATATATATATATATATATATATATATATATATATATATACATATTTGAGAGCGGAGTACTTCCCCCTTTGGTGCTCTATTGCTACCATTTGACATGGTTTATAACTATGCTTATGTCAAATGACAAGACTTTCTTACTAATTGGATTATTTACTTAGATCTAATTGACTCCATTGGACATTATAAATATCAATGTTACTTGACAATAATTTATTTAAGAGTAAATAAAAGAGAAAAAAAAAGTTTTAGATGGCTTAATCACACCTCTCATATGATTTCTTATTTGTAATGATAAAGTACAAATACAATGAGCAAAAGGAAGATCAAGGTATTAAATTGAGCTAGAAACGTAGGTACATAAATAGGGTACAACATAACATAACCTTTTAATACATCTCGACACTAAACCAATATTTATTCCAACACACCCCTCAAGTTGGAGGATACAAATTGTATGTTGTGGGAAATCAAATAGTATTTTAGGAAAGAATAAATTATGAAATTTGTAATTTGTATAGATTTGAACAATTAGGAACAATCTCATAAATCAAGGGATCCTAGAATAAAGTAGAGTTACTATATTTCCTAAAATAACTTAGGTCTCCTATATATATCTTGTATGATCTTTTTGTATTAAAAGAATAAAATAAGATTTCATTTAATCTAATTTTTTAGATGGTATCAGAGCTTCCGATCTAGGAAGTTCTGTCTGCACACTATAAATCCTAAGACGACAGCCTGTATTGCTGTTGCATTTTTCTTAACCCTAAGACGACAGCCTGCATTGCTGTTGCATCACACCTTCTTGCTATAATGTCAAGGGAAGAAGAAGTTGTGAACCCAACCCCAGAAACGGGGAATATCCAATCCCAACAATATGGAGAACTGCAGAATATCCATTCTGCATATAGACTAAATGGAAGAAATTATTTGAAGTGGACCCAACTTGTTCATACAGTGTTGAATAGAAAGGGGGTAGCCAAACAGAAAAAAGGAGGATCAACAAATGTGGAGAAGAAAGGTGATGATCTCTGGTGTACCTATTGCAATGAGCCTCATCATACTCGAGAGAAGTGCTGG